CTAATGTTCCTTCTAGCTTTGGGCCTAGATCCACTTCATTAGAGGCATTGATTGCTATAAAAGATACTTTGACTCAATTGAAGAATGATGCTGGTATTACTGGATCATCCCAGCCTGTTATTGGGGCACCTATTCCTACTTTAGCATTTGCACATTCAGATACAAGGCTATTGCTTATCATGCTTTGACTCTAGGTAATACATTATTTTTGGATAGTAGATTGGGGTGCCTTTGACCATATGACTAGCCTAACCTCTTTGTTCACCACCTATTCTCTATCCTCTGGAAGGGACAAAGTGTCTATTATTGATAGCTCTCTTCTCCCTATTTCTGCCAAGGTAGGTATCAAGACGTTTGATGCCATTACCCTTTTCCTCAGTACTACATGCTCCCAAGCTTAATACTTCACTTTTAGTTAGTGTTACCCAAAATCAGAATTGTTTAGTGACTTTTCCTGATCATTGTGTTTTTCATGATCTGATGACAACGAAGGTGATTGGAACTGGCCCTCGAGGGGAATGAAATCTACTTGCTTAAGCATCTACTTTGAAGTAATTAAGGAGTTGGAAGGTCTTTTGTTTCTTAGTCTATGAGTCAAATTATACTTTGGCATAATCAATTAGGTCATTTATACTTTTGTGTCTTTAAGGAGTTTTTTCTTGCTTTATTTGAATTAGTTTAGGTGTTAAGTCTGAAGGTGAAAGTTGTGAACTTGCAAAACATTATAGATCAATTTAGTATTTGACTAATAAAAGAAACATTATTTCTTTTACTATGGAGGCCTTATCATACTTTTGATATGGGGGGATCTAAGTGTTTCTTATCATTTGTTAATGATTATTCTCATTTCTCATGGATTTATTTTATATGCACTTGAGATTAGGTTCCCACTTTGACCTGTGCTTTCCATCAAATGGTTCTCACTCAATTTGGAGCTAGAATCAAAATTTTTATATACGATAATGCTAAGGAGTACTTTGCTAAATCCCTAGCCTCATACTTCAATGAGTGTGGGATTATTCACTAGAGCACTTGCCCCATACCTCTCAGCAGATTGGAGTAGATGAGAGAAAAAAAAAAAAAGACATATCCTTGAAGTTGTAAGAAGTATTATACTAAATTCAAATGTCCCTTTACGTTTCTAGGGTGATATCATCCATACAACCGTGTACCTCATAAATAGAATTCCTTTCCAAGTTCTGGATATGAAGTCCCATTTTACCCTATTGTATCATGATAAAGATCTATTTACTATTCCTCTTAAGGACTTTGGGTCCTCACCATTCTAAGTTTGATCCTAACGATTATGCTCAAAACCAAAAGGGGTAATGTTGCTATGCTCTTTTCTCGGCTTCTTGTTTTGTATTTATAGAAGTTATCTTCTTTGAATATGTCCCTTATTTTCTTAGGGTTTCTACTAAAGGGGAGAGTGGTGAAAGGGATGTTTTTACTTTAATTGTTCCTTTGCCTATTCCTATCACTGAATGTGAGTGTAGTGAGGGGAATCGTGAGAAATGTAAGGAGTTATAGGTGTTTCACAAGAGGTGGAGGCAGGTTGATTTTGGTCGTGATCAGCCCAGGACAGATCCAGTTTCCTCTATGATGCCAGATTTAGATACCATTGCTTATCTTCCTACTGATACATTACCCTCATCCTTAGATTGCATTGCTACCTTACCTCTTGGCTCCTCACTGACATCCATTGAGCCTTTACATTCACCAAATGATCTTGACCTTCCTATTGTTGTTTACAAAGGAAAGTATCACTGCACTGCATCCACTACCCACTACATTTCTTGGTTCCTGTCATATAACCACTTTTTAGCATCTTATAAATCCTATTTGGCATCCATTTCTACTATCTCTATTCCTAGAAACATGCAAGAAGCCCTACTAGTGCTTGAGTGCAAAGATGTAATGAAGACGAAAATGGATGCTCTCATTAAAAATAAGACTTGGGAGTTGGTGGATCAATTGGAAGGGAAGAAACTAGTTGGATACAGATGGGTATTTACAATGAAGTATAATATATGTGGTTCGGTTAAAAAGTGTAGTGCACAACTAGTTGCAAAGGGACACATCGACTTATGGTATTTATTATTTGGAAACCTTTGCATCGGTTGCCAAGATAAATACCATCAGAGTGCTATTATCTCTTACTGCTAATTTTTCATGGCCATTATTTCAATTGGACATCAAGAATGCTTTTCTTAATGGTGACATGCAAGAGAAGGTTTATATGTAATTGCCCGTGGGTTTTATGATACAAATGCATGGAACAAAGTTTGTAGGTTGAAGAAAGCATTATATAGTCCAAAATAATCTCCCAAAGCATGGTTTGACAGGTTTAGACTTTATTTGGAAAATTTTGGTTATATGTAGGCTCAATCAAATCACACTCTATTTATTAAGAAGAAAGGGTCTTCCCATGGTTCAAAGTATCGATACAATACACCCCGTATCGGGCATATCGTATCGTATCTTTTGAAAACAATACGGTTCGAAACGCCTGTTTCCAAGTGTTTCGGACCCCCAATTTTTTTTAATAATGAAAAACAGGTTATAAGCTTTCCAAAAAACCAAAATTTGAAAAAAAAACTAAAAGAAAAAAGACTTTCAGCCATTTCTAAGTACCGATACGATGCATCCGAAACTCGTATCATATCGATACTTTGAACCTTAGGTCTTCCTTAACCCTTTGTCATATATGTAGATGACATTGTAGTGATAGGCAATGACACGAGTGAGATTAATTCCCTTAAGAAACTTCTCAATAATGAATTTGAAGTTAAAGATTTAGGTGAAATTGTAGTATTTCTCAGGAACTAAGGTGTTCTGGTATAAGCATGGCATTTTTATTTCCTAGAGGAAGTATGTCCCTAATCTCCTAGAGGAAATTGGGAGTTAAATCTATAGGCACACTGATTGAGTTGAATCACAAGATTAGTGCAAAGGGTAGTGAGCCTCTTGAAGACAAATCCATGTATTGGTATCTTATAGGAAAGCTTCTCTTTCTTTGTCTAACAAGTCTTAGCATTTCCTATGTTATCATTATTGTGAGTCAATACATGCATTCTCCCAAAACTACCCTCCTTCTTGCAATAGAAAGGATCCTTGCCTAAGAGGTGTCCAAGCCAGTTTATACTTTTGAAGGACAATGACCATATGAAGATAGAAGCGTACGCCGTGCTAACTAGGCTGGATGTGTTGATGATAGGAAGTCCACTTTAAGGTATTATGCTTTTCTTGGAGGGAATCTTGTGTCTTGGAGTAGGAAACAGAATGTTGTTGCTCATTCCAGTGCTGAAGTGAGATATAGGTCTATAGCTCATGGTGTGGTTGAGGTGGTATGGCTGCGATCCCTTCTTGAAGAGTTAGGTATTGAGTATGAAATGCCTATGACGTTGTATTGTGACAACTAGGCTGCTATTAATATTGTCCATAATCCAATACAACATGAAGAATGTGCTTTTTCATAGTGACCTATAAGAAGTTCAAATGTTATTTCCTCTAGTATCAAATCAACAAACAAATCAGAGAAGGTATGTCTATTGAAGAAAGTAATATATTATATATGGAATAAAGTAATCACTTCAAACCTGGCTTAACTAATACAGCTCTGGTTGTGTATGTAGCTGATACTCTCCTCACTGGAAATTTTCAAGAAGAGATTCAGAAACTCAAACAGTTTCTAGCTGTTGAAATACTTCATAGACATTGAGGTGGCCTAGTCAAGAAAGGGGTTCTTCATCTCTTAAAAGAAGTATATACTAGATCTTCTACAAAAGACAAGAAAACTGGGGCTGGATCAGTTAATTCCCCAATTATACAAATCATAAGAAAAACTCCTATAATGGAGATCCATTAAACGATATAGAGTTTTAGAGACTAGTGAACTAATAGATTATATTTGTCTTTGACAATACCTCATATTTTGTATGTACTAACAATTTAACATGAGCCAATGTAACATGCTCCCTATGATCCATACCTTGAAACAATAGAAAGAACTTAGAGATATCTTAAAGCTATTAGTAGAAAAGGATTATTATTCCTTAAACATTAGCTATTTCCATTTGGACGTGTATAACAATGGTGTTTAGGCTAGGTCAATAAATAATATTAGGTCTACATCTAGTTACTACACCTTTATTGGAAGAAACCTAATTACTTGGAGAAGCAGTAAGCAGCCAATTGTGACTAGGTCTAGAGCAAAAAATAGAGCAATGGTCAATGGAGTTTTTCAGCTTTTATGGGTAAAGCATGTGATAGTAGTTGATTTGGGTGTTCATGTTGATCATCAAATGAAATTTATCAGTTAAAAAAAAATCATCCTATGAAGTATGACAATATGGAAGCTATTAATATCACACATAATCCTATGCCACATGACCAACCCAAACATATTGAAGTAGCCTGACACTATTCAAAAAAAAAAAAAAAAACATGAAGCTCAAGAAGATTGTTTACAAAATGCGAAGATCAACGATCAGCTGGATGATATTTTTATAGAAGGAATTATAAAAAACAAGCTAGTTAAACTTCTTTGCAAGTTCATCATGATTGATGTATGGTTGAGGGGGATGTAGAGACAAAATGTATAGGCCATGATTAACGCATAGATTATTTGTGTAATTTATTCCAAGACTTCAGTTTTTGGATTGATAAGATCATTGAATGGTCAGATTAACCTATATTGAAATCCCTTCATAAAAATCACCTACACCTCTTCTAACACATCCAAATAAAAACCTTGTAATTCCTTCATACCCTAATTCATCTAAACATTACTTCAATACCAGTCCCACATTATTATCACTTTTGAACAACAATTTTCTGAAATAATATACAAATCACATTTCTCGGCCCATAAAAAATATAGAATAGATGTTAGTTCTCTTGAACCTAAAGAAATATACATCTAAGTTTAGTTAATCATGATCAGAAAAAGTGATGCAAAGACATGCACAGTAGAGAGAGAGAGAGAGAGAGAGAGAGACTTAATCAGTCCATCCAAATCTTCCTCTGAAAGAGAGCATTCTCTGCATAACCCATCAGTTATAAGGTCTTCGGGAGTCTCAGTTCCACGTACAGCAATCACTACTGATTTCAAATGATGCAGAACCACGACAAAGTATGCAGCTTCACGCTTTGCCTGACAAAAGAAAATATAAAAGAAAAATTCTAATATGGAGAAACTAACACGTCAAAATTCATCTCTTATAAGTTAGAAGATGAAAGTTGATGATAGATCTCAGAAAACAAACAGAATAAACTCTCAACTGCTTCAATAGTAAGGAATTTCAAAAGTCTATAAATTAAACAAAATCTATAATATCTTATAAACAATCAAAGGAATGAAACAATGATCTACCTGAAATTGATGAGAATGGAAAGAGAAAATGGACAATTACTAATAAATCAAAGTACGCAATAAAAATATAATAAGGCCATTGCTTTCAAATAAAAATTGACTTTTAACTAAATCATACGAATTTAATGGATAAAATCAGGAACGTAACTTCTAATAGGAAGAAATCAAGCACTAGAACCCAAGACAGCAATATACAAATCAAAAAAGTAAATTTCCAATTAGTCGGTATTGAAAAGGAAAAGATTAAGTTAAAAAATAGGAAGTTTGTAAAAGCCATCATGATCTGATCAGTGAAGGTAGAATGATCATATTATTTGAAGGCAAAAGGGATATTGTGTAGAAAAATTAAAGGAAGTTATGAAGGCTGGTATGCCATCAGTTACTTAAGTCTAGTATACATGAATCATTACTACACAAAATAATTAAGCAATACTTATAGCATAAATTCAAAATAAAAAGTCATACATACTGGATGCTGCATGAAAATGATTTATTTCAGCAATTTTGCGTAGCATTCAAATGTACAACATTCTAAATTGAAATGGATTCATTTGGGGTTGTTGACAAAAAAAATGGAAATGAGTTGATATTCTTAAAGTCATGAAATAAGATCATTCCAATTATTTATTAATAAATTAGGAATTATCAATTTTAGATAATGACCCTGTGCTCTAAAACATAATGGGGTGGTTTGGCCATTTGGGTCAACAAAAGCGGATAGGCACCCCACCTAGGCATTGCCTTGATTCATTCTTGAGATATTGCCAACTCCTGAACATGTTTTCAATGAGAGCAGCTCTTGATTGTGTCTTTTCATGAAGATTCTCATATTTCAAGTCTTTTTCATCCTCAATCCTTAACATGAGGAAGCGATCGGTGAAGTTTGAAGTAAAAGTCTTTTATTTGAAGAGTTCAGAGTTGGTGGAAAGGTATCTTTGAAGATTAGGAAGCTGAAGAAAGCATGGGTATTTTTGGTAGGAGATGAAACTGTTGTCTGGTTTAAGAACTTTGTTGTTGAAGCTATGCACAAGGATAAGAGAAAGAACTAGAAGAGTTTTAAAGAGGCTGAAGGAAGAATGGCAGAGGTAACTTCATTGCTCTGTTTGAGTTTTTTTGATAAAGGAAGAAAACAATTGGTATGTTTTCCTTAAAGAAGAGAATGTGCATGGAGGGGGTTTAATCTTTAATATAATAAAGGGTTTTACCACGTACTTGGATGAACCTAATACAAAAAGTCAAGGATGCTGAGGCATCAAGAGGAGGATTCAGGAAAGACCATATCTGTAGCAAGAGGGGTTGGGAAAGGTAAATTGATGTTCAGGAAGGAAAGAAGGATTGGAATAAGATGCTGGTACATGAAGTGAGGAGGTTCTGGACTGGAAGAAGATGGAAGATGTGGTAAGTCAAGGGTTAAAGCTTATGGGGACTATGACAAGGAAAATCTCTTATTGACCTGGTTGAAGATTAGTTGGAGATGGGTGCTGTAAATCTACAGTCGGAATATGACAATATCTTGGTCTCAAGCTGGTCTCCTTTGTCCAATGCAAAGATGCTATGTGCAGAAGATGGTGTCATTGTTCAAGTGGTTGGACTTCCTTTCTATTGCAATCAAAATCTGGCCAACAGAGAAAGATGAGACAGGTCTTCTAGGGACCAAACCAGTTGAGACCCTTATGGATCCTAATGTGAAAATGACTGATAGTCAGGGGGAGTCATTCAATCTGGAAGGTACAGGAGATTAGTTGGCAAATTGATTTATCTGACCATCACATGTCTGGATATCTCCTTCAGTGTGGGGGTTTTGAGTCAGGTCATGCAGAATCCCAGTCATTTATTGGGAAGGTGTTATAAGAGAGTTGAGATATCTGAAAGGTGCTCCAGGCTGGGGATTACTATACAAGAAAGGGGGAGAGTTAACCTTATAAGGATATTCAGATGCAGATTGGGCATGTTCCTTGATGGACAAGAAATCTACTACAAGGTACTGTACCTTTTTGTGTGGCAATCTCATCACTTGGAAAAGTAAGAAGTAAAGTGTAGTTGCTAGGGGTAGTGTTGAGGCCAAGTATAGAGCAATAGCCCACACAACCCGTGAGTTGATATGGCTGAAACATCTACTTCAAGAGATAAGTATTCCTATAGGGAAGCCTATCAAGTTGTTCTGTGATAATCAGGCTGCTACTTATATTGCTTACAATCCAGTCTTCCATGACATGACCAAGCATATAGAAGTTGATTGTCATTCTGTAAGAGAAAAAGTAACAAATGGTGATGTTGGTACTCCTTATGTCAAGTCAGAAGATCAGCTAGCAGATTTGTTTACCAAGAGCTTGTGTGGTACCAGGATGAATTTTATTTGTAACAAGCTGGAGCTCTATGATATATATGCTCCAGCTTGAGAGGGAGTGTTGAAATGCATGCCCATAAGGGGCATTTTTGTCCCTAGACATAGCTTTGTATTTTCCCCTGTTAAAAATCACTTAACAGGGGCATTTATGTACTTTTGCATGTTCTAAAGTTTTGAATTACAAAGCAGGTAAACAAGGAGAAGAATATGGTTTGTATATTCTTCCTTGAGAACTTTTTCTCTCTTTTTCACTTGCTTATTGTTCTCCACTGTACAAGACAGCTTTCTCCACATAATTCCCCTTCTTTTCCTCTCTTTTCTCATTTTATTCTCAGGTTATAACATCACCACACACTTACTCAAATTAATTTTCAAACCAGCCAACATCTCAAAACACTTCAAAATTGCCCTTAACTTTAGAACTTTTTGAATTGAATCATTAAAAAAAATAATGTAACATTTGCATACTACAAATATGATGTGGTGACACCTTCCCTTCCAAACTCTAAATCCATTCAATATCCCCACCACCACCACCCCTTTGTGAATCAATTTGCTGAGCACCTCTACCACTAAAACAAAGAGCATTTGAGACAAAGGGTCTCTTTGTCTCAAACCTCTAGATGAATCAAAAAGCTTTGTAGACACTCCATTCACAAACACTGAGAATGAAACCGATAGATGTATGCAAACATTCAACTCCTCAACTTTTCACTATAGCCCATTCTACTCAGCACTTCTTCCAAAACACTCCATTATACATGACCATATGCCTTCTCCATATCAATTTTGCAAATAAATCCTACTTTCCCACTTAGAATTCTTGCATCCACACACTATCATCAAAGATTTGCATCCCTTCTACAAAATCCATTTGTGCTGGCCCCACCACCAAATGCAAGACCCTCTTAGTAGATAACATCTTAACAATTATAAGGAAACGAAATCAGGGTAATAGGTCTGAAATCCCTCATCCCTTCCACCTTTAGGATTAAATATATGAAAGTAGCATTTGCACTTCTTTCAATTTTCTTTTCTACCCAAACTCCCTAAATGCATCCATAATCTTCTTTTCATTTTAAATATGTTTTACACAATGTTCAGAGAACCGGACTGGGCATAGAACTGGAAAAGTCTGAGGTTAACTAGTCAGAAGTTCAACCAGGGTTGAACCATGATGACATGGCATATATGTATATATACTACGGGTCATATAAATACTAAATATAATATATTTTGCAACTTTTACTATGATTAAATATGGTGGATGGATGGCAAGTTTCTTAATTTTTAAAGCAAATGACCAGGTTCAAGTCTCTTAATTTACACTTTCTTTAAAATGTGTGTAATAAAATAATATATACAATAAAGAGTAAGTAATTAACACAAATAAAGAGGTGTACTAGTGGTAATTATGTAATACATGAAAATAAGTGGTCATGGGTTCAAGTTTTGTCACACATGTTTTAAAATTTCAATTATTTAAAGACCCGAGCAGCTTCATAAAACCGGGATTGGTTCATCAGTTTTTCGGTTAAACCAGTCGGTTAGCCGAATTTCATCGGATTTTTAGCAATTACAGTTCTTGGGGTGTAACTAAACTGGCCAGGGCCTCAAGTCATGGTTCAATCGGTTTGACCAACTGGTTTGTTCTAGTTTCCTAAACACTGGTTTTACATGTTATATTTATGTATTTTAATTTGAGATTATAGGTTTTTTAAAACATTTATTTTAAAATTTTAAGTTTATATTTTAAATTAATGTTGTGTTTAATATTTTTAATATTTTGCGTTTTTTGAATCTTTTTGATATATTTTTGACCTTTTTAGCATTTTTTGTGTCTTGCTTCAAAAAGGCATGTGTCTCACACCTTGGGTGCAAAATGGCCCTTGTGCTTTTTTTGTGCCTTGCGCTTTCAAAACACTAGGGGTGCAACTTAAATGAGCCCAGATTGAGCCCGTAGACCTGAGCCCAAAGTGGTGTAAAATGTTAACTTGGGCAAATTCAAGTTGTGCCCCCACATGGAAAGTCTTTGGTCAACAACCTCCCTGTAATATGGAAAAAAACAACCTGCTTTTATAGCCTTTTTTTTTTCTAATTAGTAAACTGAAACTTAAATTGCAAGTTTTACCAAGAGAAGGGTCCAATGTACATGAATTGCAGAGATAGAATTAACTGTACATCGCAATTTGTGGCCAATCCACAAGAAAATCTATCCTACATACAAGATTTGGGTAGCAACCGAGGCAACAATATCGGCACAGATGGCTAATGTTGAAAGCATTTGTTTAAGCAAAATACAAAATTTCATGAGAACAAGCCTCACCTGACTAACACGCCCTTTCCTAAGTGATTCTGGTGGTATATTAGCATTTTTCAAAAAGGCTGCCGCATGTCCTCTCCACCAGTTATCACCTTCAAGTTTAGGCCGCCTACAAAAAAAGGGAATCTAGAACATGAAGTGTAAGAAAATAGACAAAGATAATTGTTGTTAGGCAAGCTATAGAATACAGATTGTCAACATACTATTTGTAAAAAATGGATTAACTTACCAGATCCGAAATTGTCAAATCTGAAAACAAAAAAAGATACAAGAAAAAAACACAATGAAATAGGTTTTGCAGGGTTCCCCATTTGCTGAGAGGAATCTTAGATATCTAAAGATCTCTCCTGGGAGAAGATTGCTCTTTTTTTATCATAGTTGTTTACATTTAGAGGCATAAACTAATGTTGATTAGGCTGGCTTTGTATATGACCAATGCTCCACATTTAGATATTGTACATTGCTAAGAAAAAAATCACTACTTGGATAATGCAGGAGCATGTGGGGCCCACATGTACCTAGCTTAACAGTTGGTTAAGGACCAAGTTCGACAAGGTGAAATGTTGAAAATGAGATGTATGATTGAAGACTTGTCGCAGCTGTGCAAGCAGAGTGAGTGGAATCGATATGGAGATTCCAGAAGTTAACCGCAAACGTTAGACATAACGAAATGTAGTCTTAAGGATGAAATTGAGGTTGAGGAGGAGAATCCTTTCCACAACCCTAACAATGGAAGAGGGATTGAACATGGTGGATTGGAAGAAAGGTTGGTACATACTTTAAACCTCAATAGTGGTAGGATCAAGATAGAAGTTGTTGATTTCCATGGGAAGATGCATGTAGAGGACTATTTGGATTGAAAAGCCAGCAAGGACAACTATTTTGAGTGGAAGCCAATGCCCAAGGAACAAAAGGTGTTGTTTGTAAAGATAAAACCGAAAGGCTCTGAACTTTAAAGGTGGAAGTAAGTTGAGGAGCAACAATCTCATCAAGGGATACCAAAAATCAGCACATAGGAACAATATTAAGGAAAAGACGAGTAATCAATTTTTACCAACTAATTACACCATGAAGTTGTATGAGAAATTCCATTGCTTGAGGAAAAAGGGAATGACAGTATAAGAATACACATCAAAGTTTAATAATCTCTACATTGGGGTTGATCTTAATGAAAACAAAGAGTAACTAATAGCTTTGTTATCTCATGGGTCTTAGCCAGTCCATTAGGGATGAGATGGCAGTAGTGAGCTATTTAGTCTTGAAGATGCTCAACAATATTGCATTATGATGCAAGGGTGCCCCATCCTAAACATGCAAGCTCACAGCAATAACACAATACAAGTGTTATTAGAGGTGTTTAGAGTGAACAAACAAGTGTAAAAAATGTTAAGAGTTAACAGTCTGGGTTGGACAACTATTAGAAATCCTATTGGACTTTGTGTAAGAAAGAGAAAGAAACAACAAGGTTCAGCAATTTCCATTGTTTCGCATGTGGAAAACAAGGACATGCTTCTTATACCTACCCACATTGAAGAATTAACTTAGTGGAGGCTATTGATAAAGAATATGAGTTGGGGGAATCCAAAAAAATGTGGAAAACAAGGACATGCTTCTTTTTTATCTATTTCCAAAAAGATGGTACAAAGGGTTATCTTTTGGCATGAGGATGTTACATGGCAGTTAGCTGATTGGGGTTAACTTACATGATTTCTTGGGGTCTAAAAGGCATTTTTGCCTTTTTTTTTTGCCATTTTATTTATTGATTTCTGGTGATAATGGCAAGCGTCTTCCCAGGAGAGAAGAAATAACACAAGAAAACCCGACCACTATCAGGGCTGACAGCTAATCTCTATAGAAAACTTCTTTCGGTCGTTCCATGATATATTCCTGCTGTTTTCACTGTAAAATTCTGGATTCTATTAATGGCGTTTTAGGGCTCCTTTTCCCTCGTGCTTGTTTATAGACGATGAAGAGTGATGATTGGAGATACGAAATTTGAGGAGTCCTCGTTAACTGGATACCTTGTGAAGAACCTGGAACCTCTAGAAGAACACTGACGGAGATAGGATACGCAGCTATGGAGTTCAAGCCGGCTGCAACATGGAGAAGAGAGCTGGAGTTCGAAGCCAAAAAGTATGTGTTTGAAGCTTGTAGAAACAAGGGACAGGTGTGCCTGAAGATCAGGGAAGAGAAAAAAACAACTATTTATATTTACAGAGACGCAGTGATTTGGGTGAAGGGTTTTGTGGATGGAGTTATTTACAGCAAGAAAGAAGTTGGACGGAAAGGTCAGCTGAATATGGAAAGGAAGAACCTTATAGCTGAACTAAGAAACAACAGAAAGGGGTGGTTCACAGTGATAACAGAATGTCTTGGGGAAGGCAATAGGAAGTTTGTGTGTATCCCAGAAGGAAATAGGAAGACAGGTTGGAAGTGTTTTGCAGAAAAGCTACAGGAATACCTGGTATTGACGGAGATAATTAAAAAGGTTCAGCAAAAGACTTTAAAGGAGAAAGCAGAGTTGGGGGAGAGTGAGAGTGTTATGGTAGGCAAGGGAGAGCAAATAACTCAGAAGGCAGTGGAGGAACAGAGTCAGTTGCTTGCTCTGCTAAGTTAAGTTGGAGTTGGAAGTAGATAAACAGAAATTGAAGAACAGATTTGTGTTGATAGATGGAAAAAAGATTAATGACTGGCAGCTCGTTGCAGAGGAATTGGTGAAGAATTTTAGCATTAAAAAACCTGTTATTGTGGTTCCGTTTAGCGAAAACAGAGCCATTCTCGATCAGGGGAGGCAAAGATAGAACTTTCTTCTATCGAAACCCAGGAAGGGTTGATAGTCATCGAAGAATGGTGTATGTATTGTAATGAGAAAGATATTACAGGAGGATGTTTCAACATTAAGCTTGTTGGGGTGCCGTTAAACTTCTGGAATAAGTCGACAGTAGAGAAAATAGTCCACACGTTGGGTGGCTTGATGGAGGACTGCAGCTTCAGTGACATGATGGCGATCAAAGTAAGAATCCGTGGGATCAAGCCGGAGGAGGTGCCCCGCTTGGTGACTATCTTCTCGGAGGAACTATGGAGGAAGATTTGGGTACTGACGGAAGTGGAAGCGTCTTTGTGAAGGAGTTGTTCGAAGGAGGAAGACGAAGGTGACATGGAGGACGGAAGCACACGTGGCAGAAATATTGTGGGAGGAGAAGGAAAGGAAAAGGAAGAACTTTTCTGGGAAGAGGAAGAGTCGGGTCCCAACTCCCAAGGAAGTATTGGGGGGCCACCTTGAAAAAGAAAAGAATTCAAAAAATATTAAGTTTAAAAGTCAGGTGGTCGGACCATCATACGCTGACGTGGCCAGGAGGTCGGGGCTGATGCGGGTCAGCATGAAAACATTACGAGTTTAAACCGGGCCCAGGATATTCGAGCCTCTGGGTCGAACCAGGGGGAGGGTGCATGTGACTCAATTAATGGCCACCACGTGAGGGATAATTTAGGGGCGAAGATTGCAGATGGTTGTTGGGGTCTATCATCGTCCCCAAAGAGAACTGGTTCTGTTCAAGAATCGAAGAACTCCAAAAAAGAAATCTGCCAATGGATGCCTCGACCCCCCTACAATGAACAGGTATTGGGGAAGAAGATTACGGGTCGCCCCAATCCGAGATACTCTAGGGAACAACTGGAAGACATGGATGTGGAAGATGATGGATGGATTGACTGCGAAACTTCTGATGAGGAGGAAGGAGACTCGACAAATGATTTTGTTGTGGGCAGATTGAACGATAAAATTGTAGTGGTTGCAAGCGAGGAAGACTTGCTTGACACTACTCTCCTTTTTGACACTGAGTAAATCAAGGGAACAGTAACCCCTTGTATGCATCCATCTAAGGAGGTGAAGGGAGTAAATAATGTGGAGTATGTTTTGGTTCACGGGGGGATAAGCTGGAGTCGAGTAAAGATAAACCTGACCACGTAATGAACATTGGGCAGATTTTTGGTGAGCAGGTAGGCGCTTCTCGTGAACCAAGTAGAGACGACCAAAACAGGGATGAGCTACAGAGCCTAAGGAGTTTATCGAAAGATAAGCCTTTGACAGGAAATGTATCCCAACAGTTAGCTTCAACTAAGGAAACTTGCAATCCTCAGTTTCCAAGTGTAGTAAATGCGATAGGTTCCCCTGCTCCTCTGCGGATCCCGTCTCGGAGTCAAACCAAGGTATGGCAGTGCATATTAAGTCTAGTACTAATCTTATTCTTCTGTCTGCTTCCTGTGTTCCAGATTCTCAGCCAGCCGTATTGTCACAAGCTCAAGAAAACCCTGGGGTGCAGAGTTTGGAGAAAAGAAAATGTGTAGAGGGAGAGGAGGAAGTGGGGGAAAGGATTTGGAAGTTAATAGAAAGATTCTTGGAGGAACTGAAAGAATCTGAGAAAAATTACAGAGGTAGGAGTTTTGCTACTTGACAATTTAAAACAGACTTTCCAAGTACTTAAATATTATTTAATAGATGAAAATGGGAGAATTTTTAATCCCGATCCATGCAGTAACATCATTTTTAATCCATTCAGGGAAGTAAGAGTGGGGATAAAGCAGGAGAACAGAAATCTGAGAATTTAATAGAGAAGATAGGTGCCAATGGAAGTGAGCAGAAAGTGTTGAATGCAGACTTGGCAGAGCAATTAGGCTGTAAAGTAAAGAAGCCGGATGATTTGAAGGGCTTTTTTAGGAATTGAAAGGAGGATGGCAAGATTAAAAAGAGAAAATTGAGTGAGGCTGAGAGGCAAAGAAGAGATGTTGAGGAAGATAAAGAATTTAGTGAGAGAAAGGGGAGGAGGGGGACTAACTAAAAGGGTAGAAGAAAGGGGTAAAAAAAGAAGTGGAAATGAAGATTTTAAGCTGGAATGTTGGGGGACTTTGGTGGTAGAAGGAAAAAGCCATTGATAAAGGAAGTGATAAGCAGAGAGGACCCAGATATAGTGCTGATTCAGGAGTCAAAATTAATGGAATTTGATGGGAGATGGGCAAGATCTGTATGGAAGGCAAGGGGAATAAATTGGGCAATGAGCCTTGCTTGGGGTAGTTAAGGGGGAATAGTGACAATTTGGAAAGAAGAAAGTT